GAGATGCCCCCATGGATGAAGCACTTGCCGGGCAAGCCTGGCGACCTGGGTTCGGGTCTGCAGAACCCATGAAAAGCCAGGCTGGTGTGATGGCTCACTTGTAATCCCAGCACTCAGGAGGCAGAGGCAGGAGGATCATCCAGGAAAGCTAGCTAGCTGGACTAGCCAGAATCACAAGCCCCAGGTTCTGTGAGAGACTGTTTCAATAAACAGAGAGCCATCGACCAGGAGACCTGACATCAACTTGAGGCCTTCACATTCATGCACACACATGTGCGGTAGACATGCACAAAACGTAGGCATGAACACCACATGCATGCACACAAACAAGAAACAATATTTTATGTTAACATTCACACTGTACACACACTCACATGAGCACACATACTACGTATTCATGTGCAATTACACATACTTGCATGCATGCTCACTTATCTGTGCACACTGCCCTACACATGAGCGAGCATCACTGCACTTCTCAACATTTAAGAACTCTGCCACTTTCTGCGGAGTTTATGGTATGCCACAGCCTCTGGGATGAAGCCGGGTGGTCCACAAAACCTAGAATATTTACTCTGGCTCTTTACAGAAATAACCTCCAACTCCATCCTGCTTTCTTCCGCCCTTCTGTCCTGTTCTGTTCCATGCCATTCCATTAAAAAACTCTGACTGTAACTTACTTAGTTGACTTCTGCCTGGGCTTCAGAGCTCAGTGTAAACTCCCCTCGTAAGGGACAGCAAACCTTCTTACACGCGATGCTCAAGCATATGATGTCTCCTCTTGGAGCCCGACTCCCCAAGCCATGTCCCTTCTTGGAGGCCCCAGCTAAGACTGGAGCAATGGCCAGCCTGACTGTCAAGGCTGGGCTGAAGAGCACTGGGGGTCCTGCCATGGCATGGTCCCTGCTGGGCATTTAAGGATATGCTGGGTATTATGACATCAGTGACAGTGTAGTGCCCACCCATGCTGTCCTCAGGACCCAGTGGAGTCTAGTCAGGGGAGCTCAGCAAATGTGGCACCCCCAGATCCCTCCATGACCCAACACTGACCCTGTCCACAGTAGGATCCCATCTTCTCACCACCATGTGGTCCTAAAGTGGCCAGGCTCTCCTTCCTCCTGCAGGTTGCCACATTGCTGCCACAGCTTGATGACCCGATAAGACTCCTCCTAGACATGGCCATCGGTCCCAGCGGAGTTCCTTACTTGATCTAGGCACGGGCTGTGGTGTCTCCTAAGCTATGGTTCTGTGCCCCAACTCAGCGTCTGGGAGTTCTCTATATGCTACTGCCCCATTCACTCTCTTGCCTAAGAATGGGTATGCCACAAGGCACAGAAGAGGAAGTCCATCCCCTATGCAGGGCCCTGGTACATGGCCAGCTCTCTCTCTGTGGTCTCTGAACCTCTGGAGGCTGGGAATGGGGAGGATGTCTGGATGGGTTCCCAGGGCCATGGCAGGGTAAGTGGAAAGCAGCTCTCTGTACAAAGGAAGGCTTCAGAATGGCTGAGGAGGGACAGCCCAGGTGTGGAGCTCAGGATCAGCTGCCTGTCTGCTGTGTGTGCAGGCTTTGCTTCCTAGACTGAACTAGCTGCTGTTTTGCCAAGAGACCCAGGTCTCAGGAAAGGATTCACCCACACCATCCCTCAGCATCTGTGGAGGCATCACCTCGCTCTGCCCCACGGGAACTGGTTTCCCTTTCGGGGTCACGCCAATGTCCATCTGAGCCTGGCTCCATCTGCGTGCCATCTTGCAGGCAATGCATCGTGTTCTGCACCCAGCCACTGTGTGAACCATAGACAAGAGGCCCGGGTAGCCTGTGCCAATCCCTCCCATCTGTCACTTGCCTGCCCAGGTGTTGACCCCAACTCTGGATCTGCATCCAGGGCCAATGCTGCCATCCAGGCTCTGTACACGTTATTCCTTGCACCCACCATGGTAAATCAAACAGGCTCAGGGTAACAAGGTCATGGGAAAGTCAATGCTCAGAGGGTACCCTCTGCCCAGCCCTCTCTGCCCTTAGAGGCTTTCGTGTATTTTCCATCTGGGATGGTGGTAAACTTTTCCTGAAGGTTCATTGGCTCCCACTTCACAGATGAGGGAACCGCATATCAGAGAATGTGTGTGGCCTGCTGAAGTTTTCATGCCCAGGGCAGGAGAGAATGGAGGGTTTGGACTCCAGCCTCATCTCATCCCTACAGGGAGCTCTAGATCTGTGAACAGGGACACAATGTAGAGTCCCCTCATTTTGCTCCACTGCCCCACTGCCAGGCACACCAGTTCATTTCAAGAGACATGCCCCCATCTGGTTCTAATTCATTTAGACTTAATTAATCAAAGTGTTTTGTAAGAGACACTTGAGGTCCAAGAATCCCTTTCAAGCCTTTCCTTTCATTCTGTTTTGTAGAAACAGAAAAATTAGGTTTCATCAAAAACCAGTGATGACGCTGGAGCCAGCCAAGCCCAGGTCCATGAGAAGCAGACCCCAAGGGAGGGGGCATAGACCAGGCAAGACTGGGGCAGGCAGGTCCTTCCCCACTGCTGGATACTGGGCCAAAGACTGAGGTCAAGAGCAGGGTGTGGAGAAGGAGGCTCAGGAAAGCAGGGAAGGGTAAGCCTCCTGCTGGCTTGGATGACTCAGTTTAGCATCCCCAAGGCTTCTGACACAACCTGGAGGGGAGGAGCGAGCGAGTGAACCAGCGATCCAGGCATTGCCAATGTCCAAGCATCTAAAGGACGCATTCTCTTGCCGAAGTCAGATTAGGGGCCAAAGCCGATAAGGCCCTGGGGACCATATGCATACCCTTCCAACCCATGTCTGAGAAATGGTCCTCATGTGTCTGTCTATCTCTCTGTGCCGCCTCTTCCTGGGCTCTGATAAACCACACAGGCAAGGACTCTGTCAAACCCTACACTTCCCAAACTTACTTGGCCTTGATAACTGTCACTGCCTTGCAGAACATGTTCTAGGATCGTGTAGCCTCCACCTCCGTGCTAATGGGGAAACTGAGGCTGTGGGCCTCATCCAAGGTCACATAGCATGAATAGGTCATGAGAGGGACTGAAGCCCAAGACTTTGCATCACATGAACGCAGTCACAACCTCGCTGAAGACGCTGGGCAGGTGTGCACACCTGCGGCTTAAAAGCAGCATCTTCATCCAGCTGGACCAATGCAAGGAGCATCACTCTGCCCCATAGTTCCACAGGAGGTGCTGGTAAGCTGGGCTAAGGGGAAAGAACAAATTATTTTCATGCCCCTTCCCATCCTCTTCCTTTCACCAGTGAGAAGCACCTTAGAAATCTAACTCCACTCCCCTCCAGGGAGATACATTGAGGCTCTGAGAAAGGGAGACTATCTAGCTCACAGGGCCTCACAACACCCCGTCATCTTAGATCTGAGATGCTAAGATCTGATCCTGAGATCTGAGCCTGCTTATCTGCTGTTCAGCCTTAGGCAAGTCAACTCCCCTCTCTGAAATCATTTCCTCTCTAGAAAGTAAGCACCTCTCCCTACATTCACTGGGCTCATATTAAGTACCTAATGATGCAACAGACAAGAAACTGGGACGATTAATGGTGACAAGCGATGGTCCTCCTGATGATGGAGACTGAAGTATATTACTCCCATTTTAAAGACAAGTCGGTGAAAGGAAAGGATTGTAAAAATTGTTTCGGAATGGAGAAACACCTTGGAGGATCTGTGTGAAGGATTTCACACAGGTAAACCTGAAGTACCAAGTGCCTTCCCCAGAGTCACTCAGCTGGAGCCTTCAAAGGAGGGACGTGCATCCAGACAGGCTGACTCCAGTGCCTGGGCTCTGGACTCACAGAGGAAACCCTTCAGGACCCCTAAGTCCCTGTAGCCCACCCAAGTTCCACCTGCCTCTCTATTCTCTCTGTCCCTTTGTCTAACTCCTTTACGGATTGGACCTCTAGGCCGTGGCCTGCCATCCCACCTCACACCAGCCTTCCCACAGCCCCTGCTCACTTACAGGAGCTATAGCATCCATGTAAGGCTTTCCACACAGATGGACTAGAAGCCCCAAGGGTGACACCACTCTCACTCTCTGACATTCAGTATTCTTGGACCCAGACTCTCAGCCAGGGAGAGCAGATCAGAGCTTCCACCTGCCCGTGGTACCACTCAACAAAGCAACCTGCATGAACTTTGGGCTCCTTCTCTACAGGGTGAGCCAGCCACTCTCATTAGGGTGTCATAGGGGTGTGAGGAGGCAGTGTGTGGCAGACTCCTGGCACTGTGGTCAGTCTTTGGCTGTTGATTCACAGACAGGCACAGAGGGTCCTGGGACCTGCCCCATTCAGGCATAGGGCTTGCTGGTCCTCTTGCTCTCCCTGACAGCACAGGGTCTGTCCAAGGAGCAATCCCAAACTCACCCCCCAAAGACATCTGACTGTGGTGCTGAGGAGCTACAGTATAGGACCCCAAAGACAATGTTTTCAGGGCCCAGGCACAATTAGAGTCTCAGGTTCTGGTTTCCTAGTGGCTCCAGGAGGTCCCAAGGTGGGGGGGGGAATCCCAAGGGTTCCTAGAAAGGACAGACTTCTTCCAGGTCACCCAGAAGAGATCACCAAAGAGGCTCACCCAGGTCACTTCTGGGGGGGGGGCAGCAGGAGTCAGGGGCTGTGACAGAGCCCCTGGAGCCCCTGGAGCCACTGCTCTTGACATGACCCTCTGGCCCAGTGAGGATGCTTGGGCTGCCTTCTAAGCCTTAGCTCTTTCTCCTAGTACCTTGGTCCCAAGGATAGTTCCTTGGGCTTTCTTGTCTGTGGAGTTACCCTTGGGACACTGCTGGGAGATGGGGACAGTGAGATCGACCACTAACCCCTTCCATTTGGTGCTTCCTAGGTCCAAGTTGCTCGACAGTCCCCCGTGCAGACCCTGAGTCAATAACCCAGGCGTTGGACACCAGACAGATGCCCGCTAGGCTACTGCGAGTCTGCCATGCAGCGCCTATCCCACCAAGTCCAGCCACATCTGTACCTTGCTTCTTTCTCCGGTGCAGGGAGAGCATGTCCACCGCGTGGGCGACGAGCAGCAGCAGGCAGAGTGGCGCCCGCATCTGGGCAGCCTGGGGCTC